TGATTTCCCTGGAGTATTGTTCATCTGAACATCATCAGCACAAACTTTTGATAGAAGACTTCTATAGACTTCTATCAAAAGTTTGTGCTGATGATGTTCATCAAAAAGACTACGCTACTCAGGCTTCAATCAATGAATTTTTGTGTTGGATAAAAAAATAAATGATATTTCAATAGTGTTTAAAGTCAATCAATCAAAGAATACAACCCTACCACTAAGCTAAAAATAGTAAAAGATAATCTAACGAACATTCCTAGTGTCATTTTATGATGTTGTAATCATAAATATAATCATTGAATATAAATTTTGTACTTTTAAAACTTACCTAAAAGACTGTTAAAACGATGAAGTGTAAAACATATCTCTCTTACAATAATAATAATATAGTCACTAATTGAATAATAGTTTGATAGGCGTAAGACTAAATATATTACGAAGGGTTTGATATTAAAAAAGAGATTATTGGTATTTGTTTATCGATTTTCATGCTTGAATGGTCACTTTCAAGAAGTTGGAAATCGAAACAACTTCATCTTATTTTAATGCTTCATTTAGCAATTATAAGTTAAAAGATGTTTACAAAACTCCATAAACTTACAACTGGTTAGTGTTATTTTTCCCAATTCATATCATCTTTAGACTTGAGATGGAAACAAAAAGACTTATGCCTAATTAATCGTCAAACATTTAATATGTATAGGTATATTACTGACTGACAAGTAATTTATAAATTACATCTTTATTTATTTGAACACATAGATATTGGTATAAGGGGTCACCAAATACATGTGCGCCATACAAATCTCATTTGATTTGTTTGAGGGCTGTGATACTGCTTGAGTGCCCAAACCGAACCATGTAGTTTTCTTAAGGGGCCACACCCAGAGTCTTCCACCTAAAAGTCTGATCCACAAGGCAGTGAAGCAACGTAAGGAGATGCAATCTCATGTTAGAAGATGACCAGTAATTGGTTCACACATTATTTGTTCCTTCAGAATACTGAAGCCCATGTGCACCATTGGTTTGGAATGAGAGTTTTCCAACTCTCTTCAACAATCTACCAACCCGGTTAAAGCGTCGGACATTCGCTTTTCGTCCTCTCAATTTAGTAAACAACAGTAATGCCTCAAAAACTCAGTGAGTAGGAATTCCCTCTCAGTTGCTGTATACGTGTGGCCATGTGAGAACATTTCGCGAGGACAAGTTGACTCTCCCCACCGTTGGCCGTACCAGAGAATTTGAGGGCTGTAAATTACATCATATAGTTTACGGTACTCAATTAATAAGTAGTCTCAATGAATCGATTCTACGAATAACATAAAACATCATCCATTGATTTAGAAAATACAATATATATCTTTGCTTTGATACTGAAAAAGATTAGGGTAAGGGTGTATAGAAAGAAGAAAGAATCAAGATTTCATGATATGTTGACATTCTAAGAAAATCGGTTACTTAATTACATGGACGAACAAATCACATTTAAGGTAACAGGTTTTACATTTCGGTGCTAAATTCGTTTATCCATTTGGTTGATGTCAGTTTGTGATGAAAACTCTAAATCGGATTCTTAATTTTAACCATCAACTATAAATCATAATCTTTATTCTTCACATAGATTTGTAACCCTCATTTAGCTTTAATAAGTGAACATTTTCAAAGTCACTTTAGAGTCCTTTAAAAGTCGTCCATAAATTACAGTCTCATTGAAATTTCTAATAATTAGATTATGCCAAAGTTAATGAACAGTTGAATAATATCTAGTACTGAACTACTGATTCATTACCTTTGACGGAGGATAAGGTGAAAAGGTAGTTTTACGAATTATACAGTACTGGTCTACTGAATAATCACTGGGATATTTATTCAAATTCTGTCCCTAGAATACTATTATTATCAGAAGAGGTTTTGTGGAGATTTCAGTCATTTCAATAGTTGAAATCATAAGTCAATTGAAACTAAACTGATAGGTCCTGGGTTCGAATCTCGCAGTGCGGGATCGTGAATGCGCACCGCTCAAGAGTCCTACAATAGGACAAAACGACCGTCTAGTGCTTTCAGGTTCTCTATGATAGTCTAGCTTCAATTGAATCATGATTTCGACTATTGAAAATACTATTATTGTTATCATCATTATTCAAGTAGTTTTTGGTGGAGTTTTGTTCTCTGAGCTGGATGGTTTGGTCGTGGAGCTTTCATCGTTCTTCTGAACGACATCATCAGCATCTATTTGAAGTTTGTGCTGATGATGTCGTTCAGAAGAACGATGAAAGCTCCACGACCAAACCATCCAGCTCAGAGAACAAAACTCCACCAAAATCATCCACCTGAGCTACAAATCTTCTCCACCATCTTATTCAAGTAGTATTTTATCATGAATTTAAAATGTTCAAGTAAAAAATCAATTCGTTTATTCACATCTTTTTCCTTATGATTTATTTGGTTTTATTATCCACATGGAAAGAAAAAAAAAACAAATAATAAACAACTATTTGGTTAAATGATTAAAAGTGGGAATAGTAACAAAGCTTAATCTATACATATTACAATTTATTTCTAGTTGTACATCAATGATAATACAATTTATGTGATAATTTATTAACTATACAAAATATATGTAAATAATTATAGATTAAGTAACACTTATGTTTTGTATTTTGCTTTTATCATGTATATGTTACTACTTTTTACTGGGTCAATCATTAGTTGTTGTTGTTATTGTTGTTTATTTGTTATTTACCAAACATTCTTGTTATCAGTATTGGTGTTGTTTATTTATATTGTGTAATTATCAAAGTGTGAATGAAAAGAAATGAAGGAAAATCTAAACAACAACAACAACAACAACAACATCAACGATGAAAGCGGAGAGAAAAGAGGAAAATTCAAGGAGATAATCAGTGATACACAATACATGATTCATACTGGAATGAATGCATTCATTGTTTTAAATAAAAAAAAGATTTTCTATGCACATTATACATAAATATGTTTACTAATACATAAAAACTATAGTTGTATGCCAGTTCTACTTGTGGAGAATGAAAGGCAGTTATAACTGATATGTATAACCTTTATAGATAATGAATCTAAAATTATGATGTTGAAATACTACAAATGAATGAACTTAACTCAATAATTATTATTAGGAAATTGTAAATCTGTAAAGAATTCATGTAGAAAGGTTATGTTGTTAGTCGGTTTTCGTGTATGTGTGTGTGCATGTGTGTGTGTGCATGGATTTAGCAAGAAGGTCTATTATACTAGACCTTATTACAATTGTTACTTCATGGAGGCTGTTGGTATTTATTATTAATAAAATGAAAAGAAAAGAAAAACTAAAGGAAAACTTGTTTTTCTCTTACGTTAAAGGTATCATATATTCAATATTAAATATTAAGAAAAAAACTGAACAAAATATCAGTAGGATAATTGCCTTTAATTATAACCTTTTTAAGGGATATCGTTAAAACAAGCATCGATGATAATGTGTTACATGAATTCCATTATTGTATAATGAAACTCATGATATTAGGTCAAGAAAAAATAGATAAAATTAACTCAAGCAAAGATGGATGACAGTGGCTAGTAGTGGAATCCAGGATGCGCGTTTCGTCCTATTCAGGACTCATCAGCTGGATGTACCTTCATCTCAGAGTTGATGTTTACTCTAGTACTTAAGGTTATATCGAGGCAATCTGCAAAGGATGCACATATGCCAACATGAGAATGATCAATTACAGTAATAAATAACAATGGAAAAATACAAGTAAAACAAGAACCAAGTGAATTTATAATTAACTCAAGTTCCCTATACTATGGGTTAAAACAGATCCGTTTCAAATGAGCAATGTTTTGATAAATTCATAACTTACATAATCTAAAATCAACCAATACTTATTTTCAATATAATACAAAGAAGAGTTTATGAAACAATCAATGCTGATCTCAATCTCGGTGATATTAAACAATATCATTAATCCTTACTTTATGTACAAGTGAATTTCCTAGATATTCTTAAAGTATTAAAACAAACATGATGATCATTGTAAGTTTTATTATCTTAATTTGTTGTTTCAGTTCCTAACTACATGATCCATTGACCTTTTCCGTGTAAAACAGAAAACTGAAGTTATATTAAAGTCTTTTAATTTGAGATTTTCTGGATGCTATGCTTCTAGAAACATCTGCATTTCCTTAATAAAATATGTATTCACAATTGCCTCTAAACACTGATATGTCAAAATATATCGTATCATTTGATAGCTATTTTGTGTTCAACAGTCTTCAGAACTGGAAAAATATATGATGATTATGAAGTTGACCAACAGTAAACACGGTCATTAGAACGGACCGAATAAACGGACAGGTATTTCTCTTTTTTTTTTACAAAACTTCATCACTGAATAAAGACAAACATCATGCTGATCGAATCTTTAATGATGACAGGATAATGTTAATCAAGCGATTATATATAGTAACATTACCTAACAATTAATTAACAAATAAATATTCCTTATTTACCGTTGATCTATTTTATAGAATTGAACTGGATAAAATACTACAATTTATTATGGTAAACAATAAATGTATACTATTTGATTTCCATCTATATTATTCATATTGTAGAAAAGTGAGAAATTTCGTGGTGCCTTATCATCTACTCAGCAATGTCTGTAATGGCATTTAATGTCATAAATCAGTATACATGATAAATTGACTGGTAAGTAAAACAAATACTTACATTCTCACAGTTTACATCATGAGAAGATCATAGTTAGACAACTGCGGGAAACTAGGAAGCACTAGAATGAAACTACCGCCCAGTAATTTGTGATTTTAAATGATTATCTAACTACAATCAATCCATAATTTAAAATATGAGAATTCAACAATCATTACAAACTCACTACACTAAGCGCATCTATTTAGTTGTTAGTTTTGTTTTATTAAAAACGAGATGATTAAATCATGCATGAATCAACATTATGATAACTCACTCTTCAGCTTCAACAGAATTGGCTTGAGCTAAATAAGATGATGGAATGTAACCAACTTGTCCAGAATGTTCAACTAACCACCATTCTGAATCACTGAAAATAAATGATATAAAACAAACGAATAGATGAGAATAAAATACTTATTAGAAATTTTACTATACTACTCAACTTAACCAGTATAGTAGTGTTAGAAGTGTTTATTTCATGGAATATATTTCGTACAGTGATAACTTAATAATTGAACAAGGAAAAAATAAACACGAATTGCGATGATATTTTGAAAGAAACCAAAACCAAAACAATTGTATGATAAATAATAGTTGCAAATGATGCACAGAATTGACAGTTTTCTAACTGACAATCAAATGGTTGTCCTATTCAAATTGTGTGCTCTTTTTAAAAAGTCATCCAATAGATGTTCACTAATCAAATAAACAATTCCAGGATGTTTCTCTCACTATAAATGCAAGTTGTTGCTTCAGGACTGGCTTGCGTCAACATCTCAACTAAGGATAAGGAGTGAAGTAGTCGAACGCGTTGATAACTTCATTTATCTTAGAAGTCTGATCAGCCCTAATATTTTGGTGTCTGACGAATTCTCAGCACGGATTCGGAAAGCTCGCTTGGCTTTTGCCAACTTACGTCATCTTTGGCGAAGGCGAGATATCCGTCTATCAATAAAAGGACGAGTATACTGTGCGGCAGTCTGTTCTGTTTTAATTTACGGCAGCGAAGCATGGCCATTAAGAGTAGAAGACACTCGCAAGCTACTAGTATTTCACCACAGATGTCTTAGAAATATTGCTGGCGTCTGCTGGGATCACCGGCTAAGTAATAGTGAGTTTAGACGCAGGGTATTAGGAAATGATGGTAAATCAGTTGATGAGGTTGTTAAACTTCATCGACTGAGATGGTTGGGCCACGTGTTACGTATGCCTGAACACCGATTACCACAACGTGCAGTGCTGACTAGTGTTGGGGATGGCTAGAAGTTAGGGGTGGCCAAACCAAAACATGGTATCAGTCAACAAAGTCAATAACTTCTAGTCTGAGCCATGTTGGTAGATGCAGACTACTTGGTTGGGGTCCGCGTGACTATTGTAACCAATGGTTGGAGACTCTGGGTGACATGGCTCAGAATCGATCACAATGACGTAAATATATACAGTCTGTCTTCCCTTAAACTATGAGATTAAAATCTCGTCATATCTTTCTACTAACTAATTTTTTCTTCCTGTACTATGCCCCCATACACAATCTTTCTTTAATATATTACCACCATTGAGTTAACTACTTCTATGAATCCGGTGTTCATCTTGTTGTGCTAATGAGGTGTGGTAACTTAGACCGATGTATATATGTGCCTGGTTCTACATTGTAGCTGACTGAATCAAATGAACTGCATTAATTATTACTTTTTTAGTTCAGAAATCATTCAACCGATGCCTTGATCATTTTAGTTTTATTGCTATTTTCATCTTCAAACTGAAAATATTCAAGGGTATTGTGATTATTACTGATATTACTGGTACAATCAAACAGTCAATTATCTAATGTTGCATTATTTAATAAGTCTATTCTTAGATAACTTTCATTAGCGAACTGGAAGTAGTACCACTCAATGATGAATTCAATCATAAAAACATCAATAAATGTAGGAAATTTATTGATGAGATTACGTATAAATAATCGAATCGGTAAAACCGGTGTAAGAATTCAGTCATTGCTACTTTAAAGGCAATGATTTCATTTCAATACCGATAAAGTAGTAAGTTTGAAAACCAAAATAACATACAGATATACGATGATGTGGAGTTCAATCACATACAGTGTGAGATAGTTGGTTGTGTAATATCATAATTTGACTGAAGTTAGACAAGTACACCATTGATTCCGTGTCAGCTTTTCAGATGAAAAGGGTTTGCGCGCGAGAACCGAAATCAAGAGATCCATTCCTGGATGAGAGATCGCAAAAGCGCACTTCTGGGTCGTCCCATACTAAGACTAAACAGTTGACCGGTGTCTCTTGTTTTTCCGTGATGGTCTAGCTGAGATCGGTACGTGATTCAAACTATGAAAATATGGTGATCTGTTTGGAAACATTTAAACAGAAACGATGAAATACTCTAAATTGATAGTTAAGTGCTTAAGATGCTCAACATCCAGTCCTAGACTCGAACCTCGTCCCACCTATTTCGGTGTAGGTGAATAGATAGTATGGTTAACATTTAAGCTAAAAGTGTGGCTGGTACATAAGTACCTGGTGAAAGAGTTATGGAATAAAATCCTTCTTTAGGAAACAACCAACGAATAGTGCACTAGATTTATTTTACAGGTTGAACTTAAAAAGTTGTTGACGTATGAAATCCATAGTACTCATTATTCTATACATTGAAACCTTTGACTAAGAAAATTGAGGAAAGGTTTAACGTATGTTTAGCGTCTTTCAATGAAATCATACAAATTGTTGTCTCTAAATAAACGTCCTTAAAACAATAACATTAAAGAGAATAGCTGATTTATTATAATGACCGTAAAGACCATCACTAGACTCAATGGTCTCGTAACTGTCGTTACCAATGCAAATTGAATCAAATTCATCGACACATTGTTAACTACATTCAGATGAACAAATACATCGAGATCTTACAAGTATAACACATCATCAAAAATTAATAACAAAAAGGCCTTGTTTACTAATGAGGCTGAAGGCTATGTTACATCTACACAAACACAGCCTACTTTGATGTACAACATTGATTGGAGCAGAAGTAGGTTTGAAGAAAGTTAGTAACATACGATTCAAGATGTAGCAACAGACCAGTAAGTCCTTGAATGGATTGTGTTAGTAGATCCAGACGACCTGATTGGTGTCTATGAGATAACCGTGAACAGCTATTACAAACAATGAGTGACAAGGCTCAGAATCGTTTACAGTGGCCTAGACCTATTCACTCTTCATGTTTATCTCTATATGCTTTATTCATCGAGTTCATCTATTCTTTTCGAATAAGACTAATAATATCTGATCTTTATCACCATCGTTGCAACTACTATCATTGCTATTCTTTTATTACTCTTCTTTTCTATTTTATCTCGTTATGATAATGTGGTACAGTAACCTCGGTTGGTAAACATTTATGCCAGCTTCTACCCTAATTACAAATGACTAACTTAGAATAAAATTTAAATGACAATCATCTTAACAATTAATTTCACATAATAAGATATATTAGACTTAAATTTGCTTGACCTGATCCTACTTTAAGATTGTACATTAGAATCAGAAATTTGTTTCAAAGAGCTTTGATTCCTACAGAACTGTTATCAAATTAAAGCATTAATACTGATAGGGTTTCGATTCATTCACTATAACATCATGATTTCCGAAAACCATTTGAATTTTATTTCACAAAGAAATTCCTCAACCTATGTAAAATCTTAGAGCATGAGTCAGTCAGTCAGTCAGTAACAACGTAGAACTTCGTACGTACGTACATCAGTTCGAGTTGCCATACCACATTAGCACAGAGATGCAGTGGTCGATTCAAATCCCGCATGAATCCAATAACTGTTCTAGAACCTCTCTAAATGAAATATTCAGGATATATATATTTATCTAAAAAGGAAATTTTTGAAAACAGGGATGCATAAGTATAGTAGAATAGCAACAATGAAGTGCTTTAACAAGAAGCGAATTTTCATACTTGATTGTGTGTCTCATCTCCTAAATAAGGGTTCTCGATTCTTCGTAATACAAATGCTCAAATCAATTGATAGGATCAGTGAAATGATTGCAATAGGCAAAGTGACAACTTGCTCCCCAAACTATTTAACAAATATCAACGGAATAGATTAGATAACATTAAACTACTAGCCGTTCGGTCAAATATATTCAGTCAGTCAGTTACAACACAAGACCAGGCACATACATGCATCGGTTCAAGTTGCCATCGCAAATCATACATGAAATAGTGAAGTCAGATATTATAATTTATCAAATAACAAATAACTTTTCAAATATAAAAGTCAAGGTCATAAAACAACTGATGATTTGGCAAACAACCATGTTACAACACTTCAATATTTCAAGTTAAAACAATTGATAAGAACAGTAATTATGAACCAGCTTTTATTAATATGACGGCTGATTTATCTAGATCTTCAATTTGTTTTATTTAACTGACGAAAAGCCGATAATTTTGTATCATATAAATCCTTTATTATCATTAACACTGTTACTAATTTTACGACTTTGGCATCCACACTGAAAATGTCATTCAGCTGTGTTAATGAGGTCTAACAATTTGAATCAATCTATTTATGTACCAAGTTTTATATTTGCGTCCAACTAACAGATTAATCAAATATTTTATTTTTGTGATACACTTATTATTTCAGTCAACGTAGCTGTGAGTGATACTAACTTCATTGAAATGTGATTTCAGTCAGTCAGCAACAAAGTAAAACTTCGTACGCACGTATATCAGCACAAGTTGCCATACCACATTAGCACACAGACACAATTGTCGATTAAAATCCCTTAGTGGTAGAGGTAGTAAAAGTATAAACAGTAATGGGAAAGATTATGGTTTGTTGATGTTATTCAAGGAGTATAATCTAGTGAAATAAATTTGGAAAGAGAAAAAAGAAAGGGATAAGAGGAATTCAGAAGATTAGAGATTAAGAGAACATAAAGAGTGGATGCACCTATGTCATTGCAAACGATTTCGAGCCATGTCATTCAAGGTCTCTAATCATCAGTTGCTATCGTCTCCCGGTCCCCAACCAGGTAGTCTCCACCTACCGACATGACTAGTCCACTTGTCAGTGACTTCATGTATTTGTGCCGTGTTTTGTTCTGACCGCCCCTACCTTTCTTCCAACTTACTCCCACACCATAAAACATTGCTCTTTGGGGTAATCAATAGTGAATTAATGTTAATTTTAAAGAACCCTTTAATTCTTTGACAATTTTGACAATGAAGATTAAAAAAAATTTAGTAAAACAAGGGTGCGAAAATCTAACTGTTTAGTAATTGTTTTTTATTACAACTTAATTGATCCTAAATACCTCTGAATAAAATCATTAT